ATCTACCTATTGAAGGGAGTGTAAAAGAATTTGTGGATGTATTTTAAACCACCACAATAGGTCTCCTTTTTTTTTCCTTTTAATTTTACTGGTCTCTGATATCCTAGAGTGATAAAAACTCTAGGCTCAGAAACCTCTTCTAATATTAAAAAGATTGCTGAGTCAGTTTTCAGTATATTGATGAACTACACCTATGTTTTACTCATGAGGTAAGGTGCCTTCTTACTTATTCTCAGGAGAGTCAATCTAAATGGAACCCTTGTGACATATAAAAGTAAATTATTTTTAAAGGTGAAAATATGTTGAAACAATTTGAAATTAACATATAAGGATGAAGATTTTCAGTTAAGAAAGTGCTGAAGGGTAGGATAAATTCTGGAGGGTAAATTCATTTGTAATATCACTAAAAATTCTAATGGGATTAAAGTAGAGCAAATATACAGGATTGCTACAAGTGATGAATGAAGGCCAGCTCTTAGCATCTCATCTCCCACATATCCCCAGGCTCATCATAATCAGAAACATTCACAATAGGCTGGATATAATCCTATATTTTCCTTTATTGAAAACCTTATCTTGTGCAAAATGTGTGATATCAGCTAAACAAGATCACTGCTTCCTCTGCACCTCCCAGACATTCGTACTGGTCTTGTAGCTACTCTCTGTCTTCCTTTTTGCATGTCTTTCTCCTCCATCATATCAGAGAATCTCAAAGAGTAGTTCCTGGACCCCAGGCACCATGTTCACCTGAGGGGGATTTTTAAAATACATATTTCTAGAGACAATCCCACACCTACCAAATCAGAAAATCTTAGATTGTGGCCCAGGAGTGTGCATCTTTAATAAGATCCCCAGGTGAACTTTTTGTACAGTAAAGCTCAAGGACCACTGGATTAGGCTGTGGACATCCTGAAAACAGGATCTGAGTCTTGCTCATCTCTACATTCTTGGTCCTTCATCCTATATCCTTGTACATTGCTTGGCACAGCCAACCCTAGCACTCTAGTAGGTATTAGATAAACATTTATGGGATTGAATTGAATTGGAAAAATATCAACATATTATGTTTTAACTCCACAAAGTCATGAAGAGGTTCTAGGTGATGAGACTTTTTGGTCTTGTGTGAGTTTGGTGAAGTGGTCATGTATTGTTTTTGCCTGCCTAGCATCTGTTACCTCTTGTGATAACAGCACTTTAATTTTCCTTAGGGGAGCCACTCCTCTTTCTTGCACTATTCTTGTAGTTTGAGAGACACTGCTATTACTTTCTCTGGGGGTAAACAAAGGAGGTAAGCCCTTGACTGAGATTTGGCCAATCAGAGCACCAAACAACTGTGATTGGTTCAGAAATGCGTATGTGATCCAAGCAGGGCCAATGAGAGCTCCACCCCCTCACTTGCTGGTGTCTTTGGAAAAGAGGTGGCTTATTCATGCTGGACTTGCTGATCTGGTAGAACAGGAGTCTAGATTTTCTAATGACCATCTTTGCCTCCATCTAATGTACTTTCTGTCTCTGTAGGTTTGCCTGTTTTGGACACTTAATTTAAATGGAATCACAATATTCTTTCACTTAGCAAAATGTTCTCAAGATTCACCATGATGTGGCATGTATCGGTGCTTCATTCCTTTTTATGCTGAGTAATATTCCACTGTGGATATACTCTATTTTGCTTATCTATTCACCAATGAATGGACATTTGGATACCCTAAAGTTATACTATTGACTTTTAATGAGTCAGTAAATTACTTTTTATGGTTAAATATTTTTGAAACAGTGAAAGAGTTGTAATATAGATGGCTCTGAATCAAATATTGGAACATGTGATTTGATGAGTGATCAGTATGATTTGATGGAGGCAGTGAATAATATATGGGAGTGTAAGACAGTCCTAGAAAATCAGGAATATATCATTTATGTAACAATGCCACATTTGTGTATTAGGTGTCAATTCACATTTGAGGTTTCATAGTTATAAATCCCAATGTTTCATAATTATGATGTGATGGCTTCCAGAGTGGAAACCTGTGCCTTAAAAATTCTGCTCTGAGTGTTTATCACCAGCTGACCACCCACTTCTCTTTCACTTTCACAGTCAGTGAAGGTAGTTTATGTTTGTCTGTGACACAAGACTCAGATTCCCCACCCTTCTCCTCTCCAAAGGCTCTGAAGCACACAGACTTTTTCAAACTTTATCAGTGTTTTCACTGCTAACAATGATAGAAAAATAGAAGTTAAATATCACAATCAGGAGGTCTCCAAGAATCCTAAGAAATCTTTAAAAGTGTTAGTTATGGTTGTCCCTAGTCATCATCTAAATATAACTGGGATTCAGGCTGTTGTCCTCTAGCTCAGCATCCCAACCTTCTGAGATGTTCCCTTGGGAGAGGGCGATCTCTTCGTTGTAGAGGGGATGGACCATATGACTTGTGTTTCTTGACACTGAAAGTCTGTAATCTCCATCAATTCCTCAGTTAACATATTTCATTATATCTTTAATCAAGTGTAGGTGAGAGAGTGCAGACTTTGGAAGTCAGATAGACCTGGGTTTGAAACCCAGTGTGTTAATTTTCCATAGTTGTGTAACAAATTACCACAAACTTAGTGGCTTGAACACATGCTAATTATCTGTTTCTGTGGGTCAGGAGTTCAGGCATGGTTTACCTGGGTTCTGTGCTTCAGAGCCTCCCAAGGTTATAATCAAGGTGTCAGTCAGGACAGGCTTCTCATCTGGAGGCTCCACTGCTAAAACCTGAACTTCTAAACTAGTGACTTTAACTGCCTGGATGTGTTTATTTATGCATTTCATCAAGTTTGGGAAGTTTTTGCCCACATAGTCTTTCTATCCCCGTCTCTCTCTTCTCTCCTCCTGGGACTCCCGTTATGTCTTATTTTTTTTTTCCAGTAAAGCTTCTCAGAGTGTGGTCCTTAAGCCAGAAACATCAGCATCACATGGGAAGTTGTGAGAAGTGTAAATTGTCAGGCCCTACCCCAGGTATACTGAAGATACTCTGGGGATGATGCCCAGCAATCTGTGTTTTAACGAGCCCTTTAGGCAATTTTGATGCATGCTAAGGTTTGAGAAGCACTTTTTTAGACAGTTTGAGTTTATTGATTTAGGTTAGTCATCATTTAGGTAGGACACAATCCTCCTACTCACTGAAACACACGCACAAAGTGTTATTAGGAAAGTTGCCACATATACAGGTTATCAAGGATAGATACGCAAAAATGTAGTTGTGAATTGTTACTGTGGGAGGCCAGAGGAAGAGCATTGGACACAAAAATTTATCTTAAAATTGGAGCACTGTAACCATCAGGTCCAGGCTAAGGTGAGAAAAAGCCCATAGAACCATTATGATTTGAACAAAGGAGATGATGAGATAGCAGAGTGCAGTGGAAGTGTGGTGTTGAGCAACTTTCTCCATGGGCTGGGAAGAATCCATTTCTACTTTGGCCCCCAAATCCATTGCTGAGCCAAGTACACTTTTATCATTATTAAAATGGAAGTATTTGTGGAAGTGATTACAAGGCAGGATATAGTGCAAAAGAAGATTCTATGAGCATGTTTAAAAATTGTAATGAACAATTTTGAAAATAAGCAAAAGTAGAGAGAATTGTACTATAAACCTCTGTAGATTTATAATCCAACTTGTGAGGTAGTTGGTATGAGGACCAAATGAGAGCATGTTTGTAAAGCCTTTAGCCTAGAGCCTTAATCTCAGTGAGCTTTCAGTAATGGCTTATGTGCTAGTAAGTGTTCAATAAAAAAGGGAGAAATGCTCACTAGAGGTTTCTTGAAGGAATTTGATCTTATACAATTGTGGGGGCTGATTTCACAGGCTGTATGAGGCTGTTGTCTTATGAGTGGTGATAGGGCCCAAAGTCAGCAGGATGAGCTGGAACCTGCATCAGTCACAATCACTGACCCCAAGCCTCCAACTTCAGTGATGTGAGTGACCAGCAGAAAATGGTGTCCTTTGTCATGGAGGTAAATGCACAGCTGGCCCAAGGGTTGGAGTTGCTACTGTAGGATTGGGTGGGAGCTGGAAGAACTATGGGCCTGGCTGCTGCCCCGTGCCAGTAAGGTAGGATGTGAGCTGCAAGAGAGCCTGGTACCCTACAGTGACCTTTCAAACATAAAGAGTAGGGCTGTGACTTCACTTTTGCCTTTTAAACCTCATGCAAGATGTTTCTTATAGCTAGCTAATCCAGAATTACATAGGGAAGAGAATTCAGGGATATGGAGTTTCCATTATTCATTACTATGTAACAAACTACCCCCAAGCCCATAGCTTAAAACAGTAGCAATCATGTATTTAGCTCAGGATTATGCAGTTTGGGCAGGCCTCAGTGAGGTCAGCTCATCTGTGCTCCATCTGGTGTCAGCTAGGGTGGCTCCAAAGACTTGTCAGAGGCTGGCTGGGGACTGGAAATATCTGAAGGCGCCCTCACTCTCATGTCTGGTGGTTGATGTTGTCAGCTGGAACAGCTGGCACTCTCCTTCTGTGTGGTCTCTCTGGCATGACAGCTTCATGGTGGCCAGACTTCTTATTAGAGGTTCAGGGTTCCAAAGATACAAGACAAGACAGAGAGAGACAGACAGTGACAGAGAGGCAGATGAAGTTTCTATTCTGGTTCTGCCATTTATTAGCTATATCACTTTTAGCAAGTCATTTATTATTTTCTCTGAACTTCAGTTCTCAAATATTAAAAATCAAGACTTATAACTGGAGTTGCCTGGGGTGGGGAGGGTATAGCTCAAGTGGTAGAGCATATGCTTGGCATGCACAAGGTCCTGGGTTCAATATCCAGTACTTCCTCTAAAAATAATAAATAAATAAATAAATAAATAAATAAATAAATAAGCCTAATTACCTCCCCTCCCACCCCCCCAAAAAAAGAAGAAAAGAACAAAAAAGAACTACAAAAACAAACAAAATAATTAACAAAATGACAATACATACATATCTATTGATAATTACTTGAAATGTAAATGGTCTAAATGCTCCAATCAAAAACAAAACTGGAGTTCTCCAGAAGAAGACCCTAAGTCAATAATTTGAGTCAAAGTAGTTTATTTGGAAATTAGTCCCAGGAAATACCAGAAGGAAGGTGAGAAGGATACAAGGAAGGGAAGGAAGCTGTAGAAGGTACTTAATCAAGTAACCCCTGTGGGTAACTTGAGCTTAAAACCTTTGGGGAACCCTGGGGAAACACTGTAGAATCTATGTCTCAGAGGCATCTCACCCAGGGGTTAAAGGAGCTGGGATATTTATAAATCAACTCCCAGGAGTCATTGGTTGAGGACTCTGGGGGTGGGGGTGGACAGGGGCATTAATTCCCCAGCACCTTTGGCCTGCTGAGTTCTAGGCAGGTGGGAAAAATCCTCAGATAAAGATCTATAAGTGCTGTGGGAGGAAAATTAAGTAGGTTTGCACTGAAAATATTAAGAATTGAAGGGATATAAACAGAGCACTGACAAGTTTGCTACAGAGGATATTAGTAATTTTTTAATGTTGTTAGGTAGTTAAAATGAGATGATGCACAAAAAAAATCCATTCCTGGTGTGATGGCTGCTCTCCTTCCTTTGGCAGCCCCCACAGCAGGATTCGAGAGAGGCAGTCCAGAGGTAATGGAGTTTTCAATACTGTCAACTTCTAAAAGTCAGCCTCAAAAAATGGCAGTAGTTTCAGTGGATTAGCCACCTCCCTCAAGGCTGATTCTGTAAATTTTACATACACTTCTAATAACCTGTCACCCTAGGGAAACTCAGACCTCCCCAGTGGTTCCTGGTAACTGAATCTTACGCACATAAGGGTAGCTATCTTTTTTAGTCTTTAATCAAGCTCCCACCCCTTCCAGATCCCCCCTCCCACCGTGTGTTCTCCAACTCATGATCTGGTGACATTGTCCAAAAATAGCTGCAAACCAACATTATAATGGTATGGGACTCCAAAGTTTGTAGTCATTTGATAGTTAACTGCGTATCTTTGAAGGCTTTGAAGAATGACATAATCCAATCTTTGGGGAAATTTCGGTGTGAAAGAGAAGAGTAAGGGAAAGAGGGAAAAGCAGTGTATGTGTTAGTTACTACAACTACCCATTTTGAGGCATGCGAGAAGCCCTGAGTAGGCATGAAGTGCAGTGACTGGACTGTAAAGGAAGAGACCAGTGTGAAAGTGGCAAAGCTTGGTGTCTCATAAGCAATGGCCTCGTGTTGGAAGACTTGGGTTCCAGTGCATTATGCCGCTGCCAGCCTTGCACTGTTCCTCGAGTGTTTCTCTATGTATAGGGCGGGAATGGCAGTACCTCGCAGGGTTACAGCGGGGCGCGAGGGGATAGCGCCGGCTACGCGCTCAGCACGGTGTCTGCAACAGGGTAAAGCGCGCCAATCCTGGTTTCTCCTCTGCTAAGAAAAAGGCGACGGAGGTAATACCATCCGTATCCCAGAGGTTGCCGTAAGTAGTGAGTGCTGTAAGCACCAGGCAAGTAATAAGCACCCAACCCCAGCCCGTCGCCCCCTTTTGCCCCCACGCCGGGAGAGACTCGGATGAGACTGGCGGACAAAACGTGCTCCTGCCCGCGGCTCCCAGGCCACCCCTCTGCGCTACTCTAGCGGAGTGCTGTTGCCGGGGCCCGGGCACCGCCCAGCTCTAGCGCGGGCCAATGGTAGGGCGGCCCGGGCACCGCCCTGCTCCAGCGCGGGCCAATAGCGACGCGGCGCGGGCACCGCCCTGCTCCAGCGAGGACCAATAGTAGCGTGGCCCGGAGCGGGGCCCGCCCCCAGTCGGGCGGGGAGGTGGAGAGGCGGTCACCGACTCCGCCCCACTCCCCTCTGACCCGGTGTCTCGTCTCTCTGTCTTCCTGTTCCAAACCACGTGGACGCGCCGGGGGCTGCGGGGCTGCGGGAGAGAACCCGGGCCGCCACTGCCGCTGTCGCCGCCGCCGCCAGACTCACGGCCCCCGCGTCCGTCCGAAGTCGCCTCGCCCCGGCCGCCGGCGCCTTTGCGGAGGGCGTGCACATGGCGACCCAGGCGCACTCCCTCAGCTACGCGGGCTGCAACTTCTTGCGCCAGCGTCTGGTCCTGTCCACTCTGAGCGGGCGCCCAGTCAAAATCCGAAAGATTCGGGCCAGAGACGACAATCCGGGCCTTCGAGGTAACTCCGGAAAGGGCAGCGCGCGGGGTGGGCGCGGGGGCGGAGGGGAGACGGCCCGCGGAGAACCTCCCGGTCCCGCGGGCGCGTGAGGGAGGGCTCGTGGCGCGTCGCCCCCACGCCCGAACGCGCCAGAGGCTGTGGCGGAGGCGGGGTCGGGCCCCGCGGGGTGCGCTCAGCTGCGCGCTGCGCTCGGCGTCTCCCGGGCGCTGGTAGTAAACAGCTACACGTTTTCCAGCGTTACGTGTTGCAACATATCCCAGGCATCGCCCCCTGCTTGTCTTCAGTTCCTCTTGCTCTCGCCATAAACCTCTCAAAGGGAAAAAACAATTTGTTGGACTCAAATGTGTTGAAGGAGACGATATAAAGATGGAGAGAAATTTGGAGAGAAAAGTACCACTGGTTGGTTCCGTCCCCCGTCCCAAAACAGGTCTCAGAAGCAGCTGCCCCTCTGGACACCGGCTGTCCCTGTCGCCGTGATTTCTCGGCTGCCCTCACACATCTCCTTGAGTGTGTATTAAAGAATTTTAAAAAAATTCTTTGTTTGTTTTCAGCCGTGACTGTGATTGATGTGCGCAGGACAGGAGCTTTGAGATAAATTTTTAACAGTCATGGGCCTAATTGCCTTGACGTTAGTTGGCAATTGGTGACAAGCGCTAAACTACCGGCTTCTAAGCTCTCTTTTTGCCCCACAAAGGTAGATAGATGAATAATAGGCCCCATTTAAACCCACGTCAAGTTAAATGACTCAAAATTTCACCTGATCCCCTGGAGTAAGACACATGCATTTAAAAGCTTCTGTCTGGCTATCCCAAATTGGGGGAAAAAGTTAAAGAAATAGAAAGAAAAACCTATCTGCAGATTGAAGGAGAGGGTTTGCATTTGGTCCTAGAAGCTTTCTGGGTCCTGTTGATGTGTTTAATTTTGCACTGGCTCCTATACTAAGTGGCCAGCCATTTCATTATCTGTCTGAATACATCGTCTGGATGGTTACAGTTCTGCCTCTCTTGAATGGTGATTGGTTGCACACAAAGGGAAAATGCCATGTCACTGATGGAGGTAGAAGGTTAGGAAGGAAAAACCAGATGAACCTCAGTACCATGGAGAGGAACCTGGTGACATAGGAAAGACTTGTGTTGGTACATGGTTACCACCCTCACTGTACTGCTCAAAAACACTGAGGAAGTTAGGAGGGACAGCTGGCATGATTTCTGCCAAGTGTTCTTCCCTTCAATATATCTTACCCTTATTTTGAGTCTGGCCCTTGGGCAAAGCAATTATTTGATTGGTCTTCTCTGTGGCATTCCCAGCCAGCTCTCTTCATCCCTAGTTTGGCGTAGAGAACTCACCACTTGCTGGATTTGGTAAGAAGTCAGGCTTCTACTTCAATGAACACTAGGCCTACATTTTTTTTTTTTTAAAGAAAGAAAGAGAGGTACCTTAGCCTGGAGACCTGGGATTTCTAATTTATAGTGCCCGTAAGACACAAGTTAGTGGTTGTCTTTTCACAGGTGGCCTCCAAACTAGTATTTAACGTTCCAGAGAATGTTTCCCTCTCTCCCTCTTGCACTCTTTGTGAGCATCTCTTTACTGCCACGTGAACATAAACAGGGCTTGGCCACTTGGCATTTTCCTGAAAGGATGGTACCTGAGGAAGGTAGTACTGGTTGGCAGATGTGCTGGTATTTTAGGAGGAGCACTATGTATAGCCTTATTTGCCTTACTTTATTAATATCTAGGGGAAAAAAAGAGGCCTCTAATTTAGACCCTCTTGTGCTGGATTCAAGGCCTCAGAAGCCCTGTAGACATTTGCTTAATTTTTTAAAGAGGGAACTGTATATATGTACATGCATTCATGTAGACACGTGTCCATATATATATATACACATGTAAGTGTGTATACTTGCACAAATACACATAAATACATGCAGCCCCTGACACATGATATGTGATCATAGTCAAACAAGTCTGTGGTCAAACGAGCTTGACTGGAGATGTAGCCAACAGGCTATCTTACCTAACATCTCCCTTTCCTACTCTTCCTGACTCAGATTCTGAAAGCTGGAAAAAACTGAGCATTTCCAATAAAATCTTCAGTTCAAGTGCAAAAATGACATTTCTGTAAGGTGCTTGCTTAAATATCCCCCCTTGTGTGAGTTTTGGAGGGTTGGGGTGGTGCTTCTGTAACAGTCATTTGGAAAAGGTTTACTGAGCCCCATTATGTGCAGAGCTTTGTGGAGGTGTAAATGTGAGAAGCTCGTTGACCCACTCTCAGGGAGCTTTATGAGGAAGAGCTTGAGAGGTTAGTTTGAGGAACTTGAAGTAGGAAGTTGTAAAGGGGCTCAGCAGAGTTGGAGCATAGGCTTCCCTGGGGATTATGAAGGAAGGCTCTCTGGATGTTCTGATCTGAACAGATAGAATTGAGATAGTGGCAGTGGGAGTCCTTGTTAGTGAAAAAACAGCTTTTAAGTCAGAAAGTTCTTCATTTTCTTTATTATGTGGAGGTAAAAATCTTTGTCATGGTCATAGTAGCTTGAGGGTTAAGAGCTTGGGCTTTTGCTATTTGCTCTTGGACCTCATGATCCTGAGTTTTTTCACCTGTAAAGTGGGGCCAGGACTACCGTCTTCAGAGGGTTATTGTGAGGATTAAATGAAATAATACTTCAAAGTGCACTGAACAGTGCCTGGTGTATAGGAAGACTAAATGTTAGCTGGCTTTTTTATTACATAATTTCTACACATCAGGAATAGTTCTGCTCTTTGGCATTCGAGATCTGTTCCTGCTTCTATACAGAAACTTTTCAAATATATAAAGAGAATTATGCCTTCTCTTTGTCTTCTTTTCAGTCTAAAGGTTTCTTTTTAGGTGGTGGCTTCCAAATATTGTATGTTTTATGTATAACTGTAGTGGTTTTTAACCAGGCACAGTTTTGCTCCCCAGGGGATGTTTGGCAGTGTTTGGAGATGTTTTTGGTTGTCACAACTGGGAGGCATCCAGTGGGTAGAACCTAGGGATGCTTAATACCTGAGAGTGCACTGGACAGCTCCCCACACAAAGAAATATTCTGTCCAAAATACCAGTGCAGCTGTTGAAAAACCCTGGTCTATGAGACTTAATTATTAAGCTTTTTATTTTCCTCATATCCCTAATGGTTGGAAATAACCGCATGAGGTACCAAGAAAACTGCATAAGGACTCAGAAGGGGCTGAGACACAAGTCAAACTCTGTGACTTCAGGCAGATCTTTTACTCTCTTAAATAAAACTGCCTCCTTTGAAAGAGGAATGGTAAAGAATGAGAATTTGAATCCCAAAGGAAGATGATCCCAGAATGATTTGTACTAATTATGTAGCCACACGTGTAATTTTTACTTCACTCTTAAGGACTGTGAACAATTATATTGTCTCATTAGACCCTTTCCGTCAGTGAGGAGGAAAAAAATATTTTTTGTTGCTGTTTTACTGAAGGTAAAGAAGGTAAGACATAGTTAAATAAGATAGCTGGTGAAGTTGAACATGCACTGAGTGATAGAGTTGGAAACAGATGGCTACCAGCTCCAGCCTGGAAGGCCTGCTCTCCCATCTAACTGCTTGATGGACTTGAGTGTCCTCATGTTATAAAGCAGCTGTCCAAAGTGCCTCTGTTTCTGAATTTCATGAGAGCTGTCTCTTGCAGGGTTCCGTTGAGTTAATATTTTCTGGGGAAAGTGAGATCCATATGGAAAGAATTCCACAAGAATGATAATTTTTTAAAGTGGTAATACGGAAGTGATGGATTGGGTAAGAGCACTGGCTTAGCAGTTAGTACCCGGAACGGCTCCTACCAAGTCCCTGAGAGGTTGCATGACTCAGCCCCACTGGCTTTCCTGCGAAACTGGAGAGGAGAGTTACTTTGTCCCATGGGAGTGTTGCACATGGCTTAAGCAGATGAGATTCTGAAAGAGGAGGGGTAAGTGAAATACTAATAAAAAGAATTCTCTAAAATGTATTGAGGAAACATGCCACATAGAGGGTCTTAAAGGTGAAAATCTGGCAAACGAATTGGATCTTCTAAAAGGAGAATTGTAAAGGAAAACTATTTTTCTCCTAAACTTTCAGTACTTCTGACACCAGATATGTGGTCCCCCCCCCCCAACCACCAAGCAGTTCTCCAATTTTCAATGGGAACTCACTGGGTATCCTACAAATTTAACTCAATTCTGACATTGTCTACATGGCAGTAGCATCAAATCCCACAGGTTAAGGACTCAGTCCCACAAGACTGCCCCCTACATCCCCAGATGCCGATCACAAGTCCCAGTAGCAAGTCCAGGCCACTGGTACTTCCGACCAACCAGCCATAAAACAGGAGTTTCCCTAGTCTCCTCCTTGGCTTGATAATTTGCCAAAATGTCTCATGAAGCTCAGGGTAACATTTATTTATATTTA